CTTGATCGGGAATCGAAGCATGACCTCCTGTTTCATAGGTCGACTCTCAACCACAGAGCCACACTGGCTGGGCCACAATCTTTCTTGAAACGTGGGGAAAGTTGTGAATATATATAATTCCTATTTTTAAAAATTTATTATTACTGGTCAAAGTTATATTTTAAAAGTCTCATCAAAGTGAAAACACAAAATCAATCATGGTGTTGTTGGATAATTTTTTTATGAACCTTTATCTTTTAGAGATACTTCTTGAAATGTTTCCAGATGAAATGATACAAAGTCTGGTATTTGCCTCAAAATAATTTTGGAAATGGGAAGGGATGGGAAAATGGAGGAAACAAGATTGGCCAGGAATTAATAATTGTTAAAGCTGGTGATGAATCCATGGGACTTCATATGTAATTCTATGTTTATATAGGTTTAGATTTTTCCATAATGAAATCATTAAGGAAGCAAAAAAGAGTGAGGGAAGCCCTGACTGGTGAGGCTCAGTTGGTTGGACATCGTCCTGTGCACCAAAAGGTTGCTGTTTCGATGCTCCATCAGGACAGATGCCTGAGTTTTGGGCTTGATCCCCAGTAAGCAAAGCGGTGTGCAGGAGGCAGCCACAATTGATGTCTCACTCTCACATCAATGTTTCTCTCTCTCTTCCTCTCCCTTCCTCTCTAAAAATCCATTTTTTTAACTCTTAAAAAAGAAGAGTGAGAGAAGAAAGGATGGGAGGGAAGGGGAGAAAAGAATAAACAAGAAACCCTCCCCATGCAGTGTGCCACAATTTGTAGAAACAATTGCCATGTATGGATGGCAGGTAGCTGACCTACATTTTCTAGACAGAAAGTGGATTTAAGATTCTGGGGCTTGTGGGCATAGTGTGCCATTTGCATCATCAAAGGAGAGTGTCCTCAGTAGACCTTGGTGCCCCTCAGTCCCTGTGGTCCCTTGACCAGCCCTTTCCCTCCCTGACACGGTGGACACAGTAAGGAAGCTTGTTGGGTCACACGTGTCCTTTCAGTCATTAACCTCACAGATGGCGCGGTGACAGTTCAGGGACCGGAGCAGGGCTGCTCCCCAGAGTCACTTTTGCACACAGGAAAGGAGAAGAACCAAAATAAATGAGCCCTTAAGAGAGAAGCAAGGATGTGGTACCAGAGGGTTTTCTTTATAAGCACAAAGCCAGAGCACAAGACCACCACTGCCCCCTGCTGGGGGTCTCTGGGTGTGGGAGGCCAGCAAGGAGGGCAGGGATGAGACTCCAAATGTATATTCCTGCCTCAGCATTTTGTGAGGAGCATTTTTGAGGGCGAGGGGGTTGCTCAGGTTGGGGTGGTTGGAGCCTCAGGGTCTGCCCCTGGGTTCTCTGTTGCAGCCCCATTGCCCTGGGGAAGCTCCTGTGGGCCCAGCCCCTGGGACCCCGGGTGAGCTGCTTGACCTCTCGACAACGTAGGTGGGACCACACACCTCACAAGGAGCCTGTAAGGATCATGGCCAATCCAATCGCGGGATCATTTCATGGAGATGGTCCCCTGAGCTCTAATGTATCCTCCTGATCTGCTAAATAAGGAGCCAGCACATTTCCTCCCTGTTCCTCTGAGCAGTCCCCCAGAAGCCCCCTGGGAGTCCTAGGCTTTCTCCTGCCTTCCCTCCCCCACAACCCAGAAGTGTTCTTTGTGCCTCTCGGCCTCCTCAGGGTAGGTCCACACTGGGCTGGTTCCCTTCCTGCAGTATTGGTAGGGCTTTGGGACTAATCCTGGATCTCATATCTCTGATGTTCTTTTTAAAGGAAAGAGCCCATTAGGATGTCCTAACAGTGTTTCCCAAAGTGTGGTACGCGTACCTCCAGGGGTATGGGAAGAGTTTGGTGGAGATATGCACTGCACCGTGCTTAGCTGCGCCTAATTCTACGTTCTCATGAGTACGAGGGGCACTCAGCGTTACGAAAATTATAGAAGGGGTACACATATGTCAAAAGTTTGGGAAACACTGTTAGGAGATCGATCTCTCTCTCTCTCTCTCTCTCTCTCTCTCTCTCTCTCTCTCTCTCTCTCCTCAATCACTAACAACTCTGCCCCACTTCTGAATTGCTTTGTTCACCTATCTCTCCCCAACCCTGACCTTTCCTCCCTCTTCCTGACTTCTCTGATCCTGGCTGTGCTCACTGCCTCACCAATTGCCAACCCCACATAGATCTCCTCTCTCCTCTTTACACACTGTCCTGGGTTGCTGTCTTTACTTAACACATCCCAGGTGATCACCCAGACAGAAGGCAGCTCCAAAAACTACTGCTTAATGGATTAACTTGAGCATGAGGGAGCGGGCTGAGCAAGGATAACCGTGATGAAACCTAATGCTTCTGCCCTTCCACAGAGCACTCCCACTTCAACTCATTGGCTTGAGCTCAACGCCCCAGAAGGGGGCACAGGCCAGCAGCTTTCTCTCCTTGCCTCTTCCCTCGCTTCTAAGGCTCCTCCAATAACAGTGTTTCTGGAGCAGGACTCTGTGCCATGCCCTTTATATTCCTTTTCTCCTTTGCTTCTCAGAGTGTCCCCATTTTACAGATGGGGAACTGAGGCACAGAGGGATAAACAGCCTACCCAGGGCCACTCTGGTAGACAGTGACAGCCAACTTCCACCCTCAACCCAGCCCCCAGCTTCAAGAAGCAGCACAGCCAGCACTGGGCCCAGCCCTCCTGGGAGGAGACCTGAAGGGCAGGAGTATACTGACCTTTCGGGGGACCAAACAAAAGCACATGGGAATGGACAAACCCCCTGAATTAGTGCCATCTGCCAGCTGGCCAGTTGGGCACAGTGAGGTCGGGTGAGTAGGAGAGTTCCTAATCAACCAGAGGAAGGTGAAGCAGCCAGATCGTGGCTCTTTGGGATGGACCTAGGAGGATGGGAAAGGTGAGGAGAGGCAGGCCTCTGCCTAGGGCAGTGGTCGGCAAACTCATTAGTCACCAGAGCCAAATATCAACAGTACAATGATTGAAATTTCTTTTGAGAGCCAAATTTTTTTAACTTAAACTTCTAACGCCACTTCAAAACAGACTCGCCCCGGCCATGGTATTTTGTGGAAGAGCCACACTCAAGGGGCCAAAGAGTCGCATGTGGCTCGAGAGCCGCAGTTTGCCGACCACTGGTCTAGAGCATGAAGGGACTGCACTGGCATGAGCCATTTCAGCACACTCAGCACAAAGGGAGAAGGTTGGGGAAGGGGAGGAGTCCATTGGGCTGAGCAGATGGTACAGGGGAACAGGGACAGGAGTTTGGACTAGTTGGGGGTGACTAAGGAATGACGAGTTCACTGTTTAAACCTTTGGCTGCACCTCCCTCCCAGTGAGTCATGCCAACAGGGAAGCCCAGCTAGCCCTCATTAGAGGCCCTAGAGAACTAAGGCCAGGTCAGGCCCCACCCAGCCACCTACCTGAGCGGAAGGGGTTTCTTCTTGCACATTTAGGCTGGGCAGGGTCAGGATTGGCTGTCCCATCACCTGGCTGCCCCACTGAGACGAGCTCTGGGCTGGTTAGGAAGGGACATGGAGCCAGGGCCTTGTGGGACCCCTTGGTGGCCTGAGCATCCCAGAGCCAGGTGGAAAGAGAGAGGAGACCAGCCTGAGGAGGGGTACAGCTGTCAGAACAGTGGGTCTCATCCAGGGGTGATCGCTCCCACCCTTCCCAGGGGCATTTCACAAAGTCTGGAGACATCTTTGTGGGAGGTGCCACTAGGATCTAATCCAGGGATGCTGCTAAACATCGCACAATACAACCCAAAGAATTCAAACAAAGAATTATGTGGCCCAAGATGGCAGAGTGCCAAGGCTGACACCCCGATGCAGAGTAAGGCGGGTAAGGGGCTGAACTCCAGGCCACGTGGATGAAGTGACCTCACCCTCCAGAGGAGGCATCCTTTCCTCATGCAGCCTGGTGCATGTGGACATTAAATGGGGCTTGTGGCTGAGGGTGGGGGAGAGAGTGGCAGGGAGCGGGGAAGAGGGGTGTGGGAGGGAGCCTGTATGAGAGAATGTATCTGCTGTCGCCTAGGCTGTAATTTGTGCAAAAAGCAATTTCAAAGAGATATTTAGTCTTTAATAGAGGGTCAAAAAGTCAGCTCACATGATGATGTCACCTCCTTGTTGGCAGAGAGAGAGGTTTGAAAGCACTGTGACAAGCACTCCAGGTGGGAAACGAGGTGTGAGCAAAGATCTTCATTGTAAAGGGTGAGAAACAACATACATGCCCATGGACGGGGGGCAAGCTGGCTACACAGTGGATTATCCTGCAGAAGAAGGTCACTGACCATGTACAGATATGGAGATGTCTCCAGAATGTATCAAGCAAAGAACATAAAGAAGCAGAGTGCAGAACTCTGGTGTGCTGTGCGCTGTCAGTAGATGACGGGGGAGGAGTAAGACCAGCAGTATATTAATAATTGCTAACATTTGGGTAAAGCAGTGGGTCTCAAACTTGTGCATGGGAACCGCCCAGAGGGCCTTTTTGGCCACACTTCAAACAATAACAACCTTGCTTTTATTGGGGGTAAAGGGGGGGTATGGAGGGAATGTGGAGAGTGCCCCACTTTTCTCTCCCAGAGCAGAACTGCCCAGCTTTCCCGACCCTGGCTTGGGCGCCCACCGGCCTGGCCACCGGCGCGGCGCTTTAAACAAAGGCCTATAAAGTGGCCTCTTTCCTTAATCGCTCCAGCGACCCAGAGAGACTGTTTCCCGACCGTCCATGGCCGCCCAGAGTGAGCAGTTCGTGGTTTTTGAAGGAATCCTGCAGGAACCGAAGAGTTGGGGGCCAATAAAGCATCATGCTCCCCCCGCCCCCCGCCCGCGCCCCCATTTCTCCCTTCCTAGATGAGCTTCCTGAAGGTCTGATGGAAGGTGGCCACGGGCCAGGGACAAACCTAGCCCTCCAACCTCCAGCCCCCGCCCCTCGGCCCCGCTGGGGAAGGAGGAGCGAAGGCTACCGCGGATCCTCCCTCCCGCGGGCTTTGTGCGAGCCTGGAATCCAGCTGTCACCGCCCCGCTGGAGGGCGCGCATTTCCGGGCTGCCCACCGGCCGGGTCGCTTCGGGAGCCGCTGCCCCTGCAGAGCCAAGAGCTGCCCCCGCCCGCTCCGCCGCCATCCGGCCCCAATCGCGCCCCCCGAAAATGCCCGTCGACTTCACCGGGTACTGGAAGATGCTGGCCAACGAGAATTTCGAGGAGTACCTGCGCGCGCTCGGTAAGCCGCTGCCCGCCCAGCCTGGCCCCCTGGCCCGGGGCCCCCGCGAGCCCCTCCGAGGCCGGCGCTCCTCCCCGGAGCCCGCGCAAAGGGCGGCCGCCGGGCTGGCCTCCGCGGTGGCCTGCGGGCTCGCCCTGGAGGATGGGGGTTGTCAGGGTTCCTTCGTGGTAAATATCTGAGAGTTGGCTCTAGTCTAGACGGGGATAATTTCACTAGGAACGCTGGGCTGGGTTTCCTAGTTTTTGTTTTGTTTTTAAGGGTTAGCGTAAGGGCGGAAAACTTTGTTGCAAAGAAGGAAATAAGAAAAAGGCGCAGACTGGCTGCGCACAGAATGTGCAAGCCTGAGGGAACCCCAGCCGTTCCCCCTGGGGAGCGGGCTCCTGGGGAGGGGCAAGGGGAGAATCTCTGTCTTAGGAGAAGTTCTCTGAGTTTCCCGGCCCACTCTTTCCCCCCTTCTGCCCGGGACCCTGCAGACGTCAATGTGGCCTTGCGCAAAATCGCCAACTTGCTGAAGCCAGACAAAGAGATCGTGCAGGACGGCGACCACATGATCATCCGCACGCTGAGCACTTTCAGAAACTACATCATGGACTTCCAGATTGGGAAGGAGTTTGAGGAGGACCTGACGGGTATAGATGACCGCAAGTGCATGGTGAGGATTGACTACACCGGCATCTCCTGCCCAGGGGGCCTGACCCACGGCTGGGCTAATTCATTTAGAGGGGAGCAAGGGCCCTTGCATTATTAGGGATCTTGGCCTGGTGCCCCAAGTAGGCAGCACCCGCTCATCCAGCGTCCTCCTCCGTGCAAAGCGGATGGTTATAGCTATAAAGATCCAGGCTTGTGTAGTCTCTTCTGTGTCCCGACATGTGCTTTACACACTTGACTCCGCCTAATCCTCCCAACCACCTTTGAGGGAGGTCTGAGCACACCCATTTAACAGATGAGAAAACAGTCTCAAAGAGATGAAGTAACACGCCTGGAGCAGCACCGCTAGGGCGGGGTGGGCTGGAATTCCAGGCATGCCTGTGGACTGTCCTCTGGCTGCACTCTGGGTGGTGAAGGAGGAGAGAGAGCAGGAAGGGAAGAAATTAAGAAGAAACACAGGAAACCCTCTTGAAGTGTAAACTTCCCCTGTGACCTAGCATGAAGCCACTCCGGAAAGCAGGGGCCACTGGGATCCCTTCCAGAAGCCTCTGACCTGCCCCTTTCTGTCCCCAAACTGGGATCTGGCTCCTAACTATCCATCCCTGTCCCCACCGTCTTCCACTCTGGGATCCATCCCCATCCCCACCGTCTTCCACTCTGGGATCAAACCCCGTCCCCACTGTCTTCCACTCTGAGCTACAGAGCTTCCTTTGAACCTTGCAGCCAAAACCTACTGGAAAGGTCTGCTCTCTGCAGTTCCCGCCAGAGGCTGCAGCAATGGGGGGGGGGGGGGGGGGAGGTGGAGACCCGCCTCCAAGGATGGGAAGCTGGTGACCGGGAGACCCCAATTAGTGCTGCCACAGCAAACTCCGGAAGGTCAGCCCCAGGCCTCCATCAACATTCTCTGGTCACTGGGAGGTCAGGGTACTCCGGTCTCTCTTTCACAGTCTTGGGTCCAGAGCTAGTGTCTACTTATTGATGAGGCCCTCCCTCTTGTCCTCCCCTCTTTCTTCCATTATTACGGGGGTCTGCTGTTTGCCCTGCCCTGTGTACAACCCAGTGAGAGAGAGGTGAGTCCCCTATATTACGCAATATATGGGTAAGTCTCAGGAGAAGGACTGGCGAGAGATGGGATCTGAAAGCTAGGTCTTTGAAGCCCACGCTCCGGCTCTTGGCCAGGTTCCTCTCTGCTGGGAGCCTGTGCGGAAACCAGATGGCTGAGGCTCCTTAGGACAGAGGTTAAGGAGAGCTGGTGGCTGGGCTTGAGGATCCCCAGGCCTGGAGGACTCATCCTCTGTTGTTGACTCGTCTGGAGGCAGTCAGGAGTGAGTGTGAGCCTGCTGTTTGGAATGATAGCAGGAGAGGGGTGGCCGCCCTAGAGTGTCCTTGGAGAGGCCAGTATTGGGAGAAAACACTATTGTGTCTGTAAAGACCTGAGGCCTCTTTCTCTGCCCAGAGGCTCTGTGCCAGGGTGAGGTGGGGGCCCTGCCCTGCCTTTCGGATCTCTGCCCACGACTCGACCCGCCCCCTGGCCCGCTGCATGGGATTGCACTGTGAGAACAGTCGTCCCCAATTCACTCTTGGAGAACTCACAGAACACACACACAAAAAAATGTTTATTTTGGGTCACCCACAACCTCTGGAATGTGTTGGCTTGAACCTGGCTAATTAGCCTCGCTCTTTTATTTCCTCTATTAATGCGGAAAACATTCACTGATCACCCAGGAATACTAGCTGATGTCAAGTGCTTACTAGGTACCTGGTACTGTTTACATTTTGTTTTAATTCAGTCTTCACAACATTTACCGATAAGAAGACCGAGGCAGGACTTATTGTGTGGTCTCTGGGAAGCAAAGTAAATGGCAGAGAGAGGATTTGAATTTGGTCTGTCAGTACCGGAGTGCACAGTCCCTGCTGTGCAGGGACTCACAGTCTTTGTGTTGGAGACACACAGTTCAAACACTGTGAGATCAGTGGTGACAAAGGGAAGCGCGCAGAGGAGGGATCCAGAGGAGTTCTGGAGAGGGTCACTGCTACTCTTGATGATAAAAGAAAAGGAGGCCCTAGCTGGTTTGGCTCAGTGGATAGAGCATCGGCCTGCAGACTGAAAGGTCCCGGGTTCGATTCCGGTCAACGGCATGTACCTTGGTTGCAGGCATGTTCCTAGTAGGGGGTGTGCAGGAGGCAGCTGACCAATGTTGCTCTCTCATCCATGTTTCTATCCCTCTCGCTTCCTCTCTGTAAAAAATTCACAAAAAAATATTTTTTTAAAAAAAGAAGAGAACAGGGGGAAGGGAGGATTTGGACACAAAGGAAGGGACACGTGGCCATCTCCTTTTCTTAACCCAGCAGTAGGACAGTGGTCGGCGAGCAGACCAGGGAGCCCAGCGGCTGGGCAAACCGGATGACATCGGGCAAGACTCCTGGTCCCTTCTGCTGTCCCAGGACTCACTAGATGGCCACTTGCTTACTTTCCTGTTGCCCTCTGCCCCGGCCTGCCCTTGGCCCCCGCCTCGCCTTTCTCTCCTGACTGCCCGGCTGGATGGCGGGCCATCGTGAAGAGCGTGCTGTGGGAGGGTTAGAACAGAATTACAGAATCTGCCAGCCTGAGGCTTGTGAATGGAGGGGAGCTGCATGCCAAGATGCCATGCTGGCTGCGGTCTCTGGGCCCTCAGGGGCCTGAGCAAGGTGGTGGCCCCTTCTGCTCTGCACCCACCAGCCAGTCCACAGCTGGGGGGAAGCAGTTTGTTTTCAGCATCCGATGGCTTCATTCTAACATGTCCTTCCCAGCACATTTCAAAGGTGTCGTTTCTCCCCTGGGATCATTCATTCAGATGGTGTGCATTCCTCTCTCGGTCCTACAAGTATTTCGAGGTGCTGGCTCTATCTTTGCAGCCCTTTGTTATTGAGAGGAATCATAGGAGAGTCCTGTCCTCACGGAGTTCAGGGTAGTGGGGGAGTCAGGCCACAGCAGCCAGTCACACTGTAGTGTGTGCCATGGAGGGAGGAGAGGCAGAGAGGGACCTCCTCCTGGCTCTGGGAGGTCAGGAGCAGTTCCCACAGGAAGTGGAGTCTAAGCTGTGGCTTGAAGGATAGGCAGGAAGTTGCCAGGCAAACAGGAAGAGGGTGAGAGGAAGGCCAAGGCCAAGAGAGCAGCACTTGGTAAGTGCTATTTCGGACCTATCCCACACCAGGCCCTGGACTCAGTGTGGGGTCAAGGAAGTAGCACGGCCTCCTGGAGCCCGCAGGCCAGTGGAGGAGACAGATGCATCTTCAGATTGTTGCAGCCCAGTGTTGTGATGGAAGCACAGTGGGCTGAGGAGCACAGAACTGGGGTTTGGGGGGCAGTGGTCATGGAAGGCTCCCTGGAGGAGGTCACACTTGAGTGAGGTAAGAATTAGGGTAGACGTGGAGAAAGGAGAAAGCATTCCAAGCAGAGGGAACCATAGGCACAAAGGCCCAGAGGTCAGAAAAGGCCTGTTGGGAGGAGGTTTCAGGTGAGAGAGGTGCAGTCTGGAAGACTTCGGTGTGGCTGGAGTGCAAAATGTGGCCAAAGGAGAGGAGTAATGAGGACTCAAGGAGCCCACAGCTTCAGGGAGCCCTTGCTGGGAGGGGCGTGGTCATCCTGCTGGGAGAGGCATGGTCAGGCTGCTGGGAGAGGAGTGGTCAGCCAGCTGGGAGAGGCGTGGTCAGCCTGCTGGGAGAGGCGTGGTCAGCCTGCAGGGAGAGGTGTGGTCTGCCTTCTGGGAGAGGCGTGGTCAGCCTGCAGGGAGAGGTGTGGTCTGCCTTCTGGGAGAGGCGTGGTCAGCCTGCAGGGAGAGGTCAGGCTGACATTCCTCCAGGAAGTACTCTAGCTCAGAGATCTCTGACCCTGCATCTCTTCCATGGGAACAAGATAAGTTTCCTAGCCAGAGGGTGAATTTGGCCTGCAGATGTGTTTTGTTTGGCCTGTGCAATGTTTGAAAAATTTCAAAGCCAGTTGCCAATTATTGCCAAAGATTGTAATATTTCATAGAAATAAATCCATATTTCTAGCTGTTCTTACCAAAAAAAAAAAAAAAAAAAAAAAAATCAAGATGCTAAAAACACTGGGTGCCTGATTATGTCTGTGCCATGTGGCTCCCTGAGGCACCGTCACAGCTGCCCCCCTAGATAGAACAGTCTCTGGTTAACGAAGTCCTCTCACCCCACCCTGTTCCCCAAAGTCAAGGATCAGCTGGCCCATCCTCATCCTTGTGCCTTGGGTTCCTGAGCAGCTCGCTAAGTGATGGCTCCCTAAGAGCAAGCCAGCAGCAGCAGCATCACAAGAAACAGGTTCTCCGGCCACGCCCCTGGCCTGCTGAATCAGAAACTGGAGGCATCGGGCCAGCAATCTGGGTTTCACTGTGCCCACCAGGTGGTTCTGATGCAACTAGAGCTTTTGATCCACTGCTTTGGAGTGAAGACACATCTCTGTGCCTGCGCCTCTCTAAACCAGGTGTAGAGAGCCACGTGCCGCTGGCCGGTTTTGTGCATCTTCTGACCCCTGTGGACCTTGCCATCCATACCCAGAACCACCTGAAATGGCTCATCGTCTCTCCCCAGGCTGAGGCATGGAGGGATTCAGATCCATGTAGCCAGAGTCACTCACCACGTTTTCAGTCTGTTCTGTTCAGCGCTGACACGCCCCACAAGCAGCAGAGGCTGGCATTTGGTGGGAATGTATAGACGAGATCCAGGTTTTCTCCCCTGCCTCCCGCACGCCTTTTTCCATCCGGGTGGAATCTCCAGCCCGGTGTGAAACCATTATCATTTATTGAATCGAGCAGTTGTAGGCAGTGGCAGGGTGGGGGACCTTGAAAAAGAAAGGTGCTCCTCAACTTCAAATAGTGTCCCCCACTCTGGGGCCAGGGAGTCCCTGGGAATGAGGAATGGCGGGGCTCTTTGTTCCCAGCTCCCCCTAGCACCAGCGGCTGGTTCCCAGGAATCACAGCCAGAGCCTGCTCTGCGTGGTGGTGGCAGGAG